TACCGTCATATTAGAATTCAACTGTAATGCATATATGATATGAAATACATACGATTGATTCAAACATCAAATAAATTAAGATCGGTTTGCAGAACTACTCTCTTCTTTTTGTAATTGTACCAAACACGTCTCTATAAATAAGAGACAAAAATACGAATAAAGGGATCTCTCACCGGGCCTCTACGAGGAATCTAGACTTATTCTACTATCTCTCCCTTTCTCCTTCAACCGGTTTTAACTCTCGAGCCGTGTTCACAAAGGACAATTTATGATTCAATATATATATATATAAAGATATAATTAATAACATTGAACAAAGAGTTAAAAGAATTGCAAAGAAGAAGCGTTGAAAGGGGTTGAAATAAATAATCATGGAAAGGGTTCACGATAAAATGGATATTATCAAGCTTATAAAGCTGTTTTATTTAATGCCCCAGAAATTGAAGATAACAATAATTTAACAATAATCCACCCCTCAAAATGAAAATTAAAAAAAAAAAGAAAAAAGTTCAACTTTATGGAACTGAGCTGCCACAACTAAAAATGGCCGCCTACGAGCCGCTGCGCGCTTGGCCGCCATCATTACATTCTCAAAACTCCACCTTTCTCCATAAAACCAAATCAAACTATAAGTTTGGCAATCACACGCCTTCAGAATCCTCCTCTTCTCTTGTAAACCCCTCAAGTTTTCTTTTAGCCTCCCCAAACTCTTCCAATTATGCGATCGCAATGAACTCCTGCTACAGCCTCACTCTTGGTCGTCAAATCCATGCACATACCCTCAAAAATGGTTTTTTCGATTGCCGCGAATTCTTCGAAGCAAGGTTGCTATTAATGTATTCCAGATGCGGTAGATTCTATGATGCCTGCCAGATGTTCGATAAGATGCCTAAGAGAGGCATATACTCATGGGTTGGCATCCTCACCGCTTGCGTGGAGCATGGATTCGATGAGAGAGCCCTTCTCCTGTTTCATGACCTATTTGTTAAGGAAATTATGCTGGATTTACAGTTCTTCGTTTTCCCAGTGGTCCTCAAGGCTTGTGGAGGCTTGGGCTTCGGCTTCATTGGGCCAGGGAGAGAGCTCCATGGTTACTTACTAAAGAGAAACTATATCTCAAATATATATGTTAGTAATGCTCTAATCGACATGTATGGAAAATGTGGCTCCTTGGATGAGGCCATGAAGTTTTTTGATGGGATGGAAGAAAGGGATTCTGTGTCATGGAATTGTCTGATCACAGGCTGTGCTTCCAATGGAATGGCTTTCGAATCTCTGAAAATCTTAGAGAGAATGAAGTCATGTGGTGATGCAAAGCCCAATCTTGTTTCATGGAGTGCTGCCATTGCAAGCTTTGCTCAGAACGGCCATGACGAAGAGGCTTTAGAGCTACTCCGCCAAATGCTCGTCAGCGGTATCGAACCCAATGCTCGTACTTTTGCCGCTGTTTTGCCATGCTGTGCTAGATTGGAGGCTTTTGAGGTTGGGA